AAATTCCTTAATTGGTATACAATTCCCTCATCCCTTCCCCCACCCCGAGTACACTTCTCTATGCAACCTTAATTCTGGATTCCTGTTCAAACCATAATACTCAATCATATATTGCCTCGAATCTGTTCTTTGTCAAAGGGCAGTTTGAGAAGATAAAGCAGAGACCTGAAATTGGAGAATAAAAAAGATGTTTCTGAAGCTCAGAGAATTCAAAAACAATTTTAAGCCTCGAGACGTAATTTTGAAAGATGCTCTGGGCAATACACTGAATGACTCAGGAAGCATCTAAAGAAGATAGAGGGCAGACACACAGTCACTGTATCAAAAAGAACTCATACATTGAAAAATTTCAGGAAGTACCATATGAACAGGAGCCAATGGTAATGAAGGAGAAAACTGAAGCTACATTAAAGGCACTGACAAAACAATAAGGCCCCAGGAATCAATGAGATATCAATTGATTTGTTTCAATTAATAGATTCAGCCCTGGATTTACTCACCAGTCTATGGCAGGAAATTTGGAGGACAGCTGTCTGGCCAACAGACTGGAGAAAAGTCCATACTTGTTCCCATTCCCAAGAAAGGTGATCCAACAGAATGTGGCAACTATCGAACAGTATCACTAATATCACATGCAAGCAAAATCCTGCTTAAGATCTTTCAAAAACGACTAGAAGAGTACATAGATAGAGAAATGCCAGAAGTTTAAGCAAGATTTAGAAGAGGCCATGGCACCAGGGATATCACTGATGATTGATCCTGGCTAAAAGTAAAGACTACCAGAAGAACATCTATTTATGTTTTATTGACTATGCAAAAGCATTTTTACTTCGTGGATCATAACTAGTTATAGCTATCATTGAGAGGAATGGGAATTCCAGAGCACCTAATTGTACTCATGCAAAACCTATACCTAGACCAAGAAGCTGTTGTGTGAACAGAGCAAGGCAACTACATAGTTTAAAATTAAGAAGGAACTGTGCCAAGGTTGTATTCTCTCTCTAAACTTATTCAGAGAACTGCCAGAAGTACAGGCTGGGTTTAGAAGGGGTCGTGGTACTAGGAATATTGTAGCTAATGTTAGATGGATCTTGGCTGAAAGCAGGGAGTACTAGAGGAATGTCTATCTGTGCTTCACTGATTATGCAAAGGCATTTGACTGGACCGTAACAAACTGTGGCTGACTGTGAGAAGAATGGGAATCCCAGAACACTTGATCATGCTAATGCGAAATCTATACTTGAACCAAGAGACAGTCCTCAGAACAGAGCAAATAAACACTGCATAGTTCAAAATTGGGAAGAGCGTATGCCAGGGATGTGTCTTGTCTCCATACCTTTTCAACCTGTATACAGAACAGATCGTCCGGGAGGCTGGGCTCTATGAGGAGAAATGCGGCATCAGGATTGGTCGAAAATCTATCAACAATCTGCATTATGCAGACGACACAACCCTGCTTGCTGAAACTGAAGAGGACCTGAAGAGCTTGCTGCAGAGGGTCAAGGACTGCAGCCTTCAGTATGGATTGAGGCTCAATCAGGATGGATGGTAAAGAGATTGAGATTGTTCACAGCTTTAGTTTGCTTGGCTCCACAATCAACACTCTTGGCACCAGCAGCCAGGAAATTAAAAGACGTGTTGTGATGGGAAAGTCTGCTGTTAGGGACCTCTCTAAAGTACTGAAGAGCACGGAGTCTCTCTGGAGACTAAGGTACGTCTGATACAGGCCATAGTCTTTGCAATCACATGTTATGAATCAGAGAGTTGGACAATGAGTAGGGAGGATAGAAGGAGAATAGATGCCTTTGAGCTTTGGTGTTGGAGAAGAGTATTGAGGGTACCATGGACTGCTAAGAAAACAAACAAATTCATCTTAGAGAGGGTTAAACCAGGCTGCTCCTTGGAGGCAAGGATTCTGAGGCTTCATCTGACATACTTTGGTCATGTTGTAAGGAGAGACCTGTCCTTGAAGAAGGACATCATGCTTGGGAGGGTGGAGGACAGGTGCAGGAGGGGAAGGCCCTCTAGGAGATGGGTTGATTCAGTGACTGGGGTAATCAGGATGAGTGTGTCGGAGACAATGAGATTGACACAAGACAGAACTGAGTTTAGGGCTGATGTACATAGGGTTGCTATGAGTCGCAAGCTACTCGACGGCACATAACAACAACAACAACAACAAACTTATTCGATCTGTATGCTGAGCAAATTATTCGAGATACTGAACTCTATAAAGAAGAATGCGGCATCAAGATCAGAGGAAGACTCATCAATAACCTGTGTTATGCAGATGATACAGCCTTGCTTGCTGAAAGTTGAGGAGGATTTGAAGCACTTGTTGCAGAAGATCATACAATGCAGTTTTCAAAACGGACTAGACGTCAATGTGAAGAAAACAAAAATTTCTTACCACTGAACAGAAAGGCAACATCACGATAAATGGAGAAAAGATTGAAACTACCAACAACTTCATCTTTCTTGGATCCACAATTAACACCCTTGGCACCAGCAGTCAGGAATCAGGTGACATATTCCACTGGGAAACTCTCCAAATTATGGAGAAACAATGATGTCCATTTTAATAGTAAGGTACATCTGATTCAGACCATGGTCTTTCCAAGCACTTGCAATGCATCTGAGAGCTGGACCATAAATAAGGATGACAAAAGAAGAATTGATGCCTCTGAGCTGTAGTGTTAGAGAAGATTGCTGAACATCCCATGGACTGCCAAAAGAATAAATATGTCTTGGAGACAGTGCAGCCAGAATGCTCTTTGGAGTCAAATGATACATTTTTGCCTCACATACTTTTGGCATGTTGCTAAGAGGGACTGTTCCTTGGAGGAAAAACATGATGCTCAGGAAGGCGGAGGGTTGGCGAATGAGAGAAAGATCCTCAAACAGATGAACTGAGACAGTGACTGCTGCAATGGACTCCAGTTTGCTAGGAGGTGTGAGGATGGCAAAGGACAGGACAAGGTTCAGATCTGTTGTTCATAGGGTCCCTGTGGGTTGTACTCAATTCAACACCTAACAACAACTTCCTGAAATATACAATACTTAGAGATGCTATGGCCAAAATCTTGAGTAATCCAAGAAGCATCAAAAGAAGATGAAAGGAATATAAAGAATGACTACCAAAAAGAATTGGCTGACATTGAAATATTTCAGGAAGATCAAGATGTTGATCTATGATCAAGAGCTACTTATTATGAGGGGGAAAGTTCAAGCTACATTGAAAACATTGACAAAAAAATAAGATCTCAGGAATCAGTAGGTTACAAATTAGCGTGTTTTAAGTAACAGAGGCAACCATAGACATGCTCACCAGTCCATGCCAGGAATTTGGAGGATGGGTGTCTGGCCAATGACTGAAAAAGATCCATATTTGTTCTTACTTGCAAGAATGGTGATCACCAGAATGTGGAGATCATGGAACAACACTACTAATACCACATTCAAGGAAAATATTGTTGAAGATTATTTTAAAATTACTAGAACAGTTCATAGAAAGAGAACCACCAGAAATTCAAGCTGAATTTAAAGGGACCATGACACCAGAGATATCATTGCTGATATCTGATAGATCCTGGCTGATAGCAAACACCAGAAGAATATCTATTTGTGCTTCACTGACTATGCAAAGGATTTGACTGTGTGGATCATAACAAACTATGGCCAACACATTGAGAACAATGAGAATCCTTGGACCTGTAATTGTGCTCATGAGAAACTTATACCTAGACCAAGAAGCTCTTGTGAGAACAGAGCAAGGGAATATTACATGCTTATCATTTTAAAAGAGTATACGTTAGGGTTGTGTCCTTTTTCTGTACCTATTCCGTCAGTGTGCTGAGCAAACTATTAGAGAACTCTATGAAGAAAAATGTGACATCAGAATTGGAGAGTCATCAATAAACTTCGGTATATAGATGACACTACCTTGCTTGCAGAAAGTGAGGAAGATTACATGTTACAGAAAGTCAAACATTGAAGCAGTATGTATTGCATCTCAGTATCAAGAAAACAACCATATATTTTAAGTGAACTCTGGTGGCCTAGTGGCAAGAAGCTGCACTGCAATCCCAGAGGTTCGTGGTTTAAATCCACCAAAAAATGCTCTGCTGGAGAAGGAAGGGCAATCTCCTCCTGTACCAGTCAGATTCCATTTAACAGTACACACAAAAAAATAATAAAATTTTTAAAAAAGAAAACAAAAAAGCTCATGACCAGACCAATAGGCAATATCTTAACAAATGGAGGAAAGATTTCAACTGTCAACAATTCAAACTTACTTGGATATACTCTCGGTTTATCAACACCCTTGGTTATCAACAGTCCAGAGATCAGGTAATGTATTGCACTGAGAAAGTCTGCAGTCAGGGACTTCTTCAAATTATTGTGGAATAATGATGTCAGTTTTAGGTCTAACGTGCACCTGACTCAGGCCATATTGTTTTCCATCACTTGGGTGTTCTGCTGACAGCTGTACAATGAAACAGGATGACAGAAAAAGAATTGATGCCTTTGCACTGTGGTTTTGGAGAGGAATGCTGACTATCTCATGAACTTCCAAAAAAACAAACACGTATGTCTTGGAAAAGGTGAAACCAGAGTGTTCCTTGGAGACAAGGATGACAAAGCTTCTTGCATAATTTGGCATTGTACTAGAAGAGTCTACTCCTTGGAGAAGGACATCATTTTTTGAAAGATGGAGGAATAGTGAAGGAGAGGAAGATCTTCAATAAGGTGTATTGACAGAGCAGTGGACTCAAGTGGTTCAGACATTGTGAGGTTGGCACAGGATTGGGTAGGGTTCAGATCTATTTGTTGTTCATGGGGTTGCTATAAGTCAGACTTGACTCGATGACACATAATAATAGCAACAACATACCCTCTGACAATTTTATCCTAGTTCAATAAAATGCCTCCAGCCTTGAATGCAAGTCACTGTACTAGTAACTTCCCAATGTACTTCAGCATCCACAATCTCCCTTTACCATTCAAACCACTATAATTCATCTTCTTACTGGTCACCTGCAATTGCAAGACAGGGCAAGGTCCAAAGCTGTTGTTCATGGAGTTGCCATCAGTCATGGTCAACTTTACAGAGCCGAACAATAGCAACCCAAAACAAAGGAGAAAAATCAATAAATTAAGGAGCTGAACAGAAGATTTCAAAGGGCAACGCAGGAGGATAAAGCAAAGTATTATAATGAAGTGCACAAAGAGCTGAAGTCCGAAGACCAAAAAGGGTGAAACTTGCTCAGCCTTTCTTAAGTTGAAGGAACTGAAAAACAAATTCAAGTCTCGAGTTGCAATACTTAAGGATTATTTGGGTAGAATATTAAATGATCCAGGAAGCATTAAAGAAGATGAAAAGAGTTTATAGAGTCACTGTACCAAAAAAAAAAATCAGCTGACACAGAAGAATTTTATGAAACAATGTATGACCAAGAGCCTGCAGTGATGATGAAGTTCAAGCTTCTCTGAAAAAAAAATGGCTGAAAGCAAGGCCTCTGGAATTGATGGCATACCAATTGACATATTTTTTAAAAAGACACTGCCCTGAGTGTGCTCACCAAGTTGTGCCAAGAAACCTGGAGGATAACCACCTGGCCAATTGACTTGAAGGCGTCTTTCTTTGTTCCCATTCCAAAGAAAGGTGACCCAACAGAGTACAGAAATTATCAAACAATGTCATTAATATTACATACAAACAAGATTCTACTGAAGATTATGCAAAAACGACTGGAACAGCATATAAACAAAGAACTGTCAGATGTGCAGGCTGGTTTTAGAAGAGGTTGTAATACTAGGGATATTATAGCAAATATTAGATGGACCTTAACCGAAAACAGAGAGCTCCAGAAGAATATCAGTGTTTCATAGACTATGCAAAGGCATTTGACTGTGTGGATCACAACAAACTGTAGGTAACTCTGAGAAGAATGGGAATCCCAGAACACTTGATTTTGCTTATACAAAGCCTATAGTTGGAACAGGAAGCAGTCATCAGAACAGAGCAAGGAAACACTGCATGGTTTAAAATCGGGAAGGGTGTATACCAGGGATGTGCCCTATCTCCATCTATTTTCAATATATATGTGGAATAGATCATTCTGGAGGTTGGGGGTCTATGAGGAGAAATGCAGCATCAGGATTGGAGGAAGACTTATCTACAACCTGCGTTATGCAGATTACACAACTTTTCTTGAGACTGAGGAAGACACACAAGTAAATTATTTTATCCCAAATAATTATTCCTCTATTCAACAATATAATAGAGAGTTCAGAAAGTAGAATTTTATCTTGTTTTTGATTGCAACTATAATAGTGACTGTCATTTTAAAATACTAGTTAGTCCCAGTTATGTACAGGACACACAATACACCAGCGCTTCACCCAGTCTTAGAAAGGCATGATGTCTGCAGCAATTTCAGCCCTATTCAGAAAGTAGTATGTGGAAAATAGTCATGTGTTTCAGAGATTAAAACAGTAAGTGTGCATGATGAAGAAAATGACGCCTGCCTGCATTTTAATCCTTCACCAAAGTCTGGATGACATCTTAAAATACTTCTATGGTGATTTTCTCTAATTCCAAGAGCTCTGGCTGGATAGTTCATAGCAGGCTGTGCTATTAACCCAATCTACCAGTGTCTCCTTCGAGAGAAGGGTCATCGGTCTCCTCTCCTGAAGTTTAAGGCCTTTGAAACCCAGTGAAGGGTCAGCTATGAGTAAGAATCAAGTTGATGGCAATGGGTGTGTGAGCAAGTGATCAAAACCACCAAAGCAGTCCTAACATTACAAAAATTTCTATTTAAGAACATACCTACTGTCTGTCTCAGGAAGTTTTATTAAGAGTCACAATAAAACCTATAAAATTTTACTAAGCCTAGTTCCTTTAGAACAGACAATATCAAGGCCTTTTCCCTATTGACACTTCATTCAAGATCAAAGAATATCTTTTCTTCAGAGTATCACACACTAACTTACATTATTAAAAAAAAATTCTTGACATTTATGCCTTTCATTTAAACCTCTGGTTGGTATCTCTACTAAAATGTTGTGTATCAGTAAAGTTCCTCCTTATAGGAGGGTTGTCATCTCTTGTCATAGACTTTTGTAAAGTCAGTGCAAGTGAAAGTTTTTAGCAATTCATTAAAGGGAGAAATTTTAACTGACTTCTGTGTTAAATATACTACTGAGTTTGTAACAACCTTTGGACTTGGATATAAAATGCTTGAATCACAAGCTTTCATGTTTCTCACTTTCTTTTCTACTTTACAAAATAGGCAGAATGAAAACTATTTTTTTTTTAAAATTTAACTATTGAAATCTTTACCCCTAAGACTTCTGCTTCTGGTGGCTTCCATATGAAACCTAGTTTATCAGGAAGGAAGGAATTTAATACTTAGATTAGCAAAAATCCTCAAACTCTTGCTACCTCAAAGTTAGTGCTCTACCAGTCTGTGTCAGACCAACAAACCAATCATTTTTATGACTTTTCTAAACCCTCCTTAAATCTCTCATGCACTGGAAACAAATCTCTTGGCAACACGTTCAGTAGTAGTTTCATATTGTTGTTATATGCGGTCGAGTTGCCTGCGACTCATAGCAACCCAATGTACAACAGACCTAAACCCTCTCTATCCTGTGCCAATCTCACTGTCTCTGACACACCTATCCCCATCACCCCAGTCACTAAATCAATCCGTCTCATCGAGGGTCTTCCTCTCCTACACTGTCCCTCCACCCTCCCAAGCATGACATCCCTCTCCAAGAACTGGTCCCTTCTTGCAACATGTCCAAAGTATGTCAGACGAAGTTTCAGAATCCTTAACTCCAAGGAGCAGCCTGGTTTAACCCTCCTCAGGATGAACCTGTTCATTCTCTTAGTAGTCCACGGTTTATTCAATACTCTTCTCTAACACCAAAACTCAAAGACACCAATTTTCCTTCTATCGTCCCTGGTCATTGGCAAGTTCTCTGACACTTAGCAAATGATTACAAAGACCATGGCCTGTATCAGGAGCACCTTAGCCTCCAGATTGACATCACTGTGCTTCAGTGCTCTGGAGAGGTCCCGGACAGCAGACGTTCCCAGTGCAATTCATCTTTTGATTTTCTGGCTGCTGGTACCAAAAGTGTTGATTGTGGAACCAAGCAAACTAAAGCTGTTAACAATCTCAATCTCTTCGCCATTATCATGATGCCACCAATCGGCCCAGTAGTGAGAATCTTTGTTTCCTTGATATTGAGCCTCAATCCATATTAAAGGCTGCAGTCCTTGACATTCTGGAGTAAGTGCTTCAGGTCCTCCTCAGTTTTAGCAAGCAGTGTTGTGTCATCTGCATAACACAGATTGTTGATGAATCTTCCTCCAATCCTGATACCACATTTCTCCTTATAGAGCCCATTCTCCCGGATAATCTGTTCTGCATATAGATTGAAAAGGTATGGATGAAGGACACATTCCTTGTGTACACCCTTCCCAATTTTGAACCATGCAGTGTTTCCTTGCTCTGTTCTGACTTCTAACATAAAAGTGAGCCTCTTGATGGGCATTCACACAATGGAATCCTATGCAGCACTCAGGAGCAATGATTTCAAAAAATCCTATATAATGTGGGAGAGGCATTCTGCTAAGTGAACTAACTCAGTCTAATAAGGACAAATATTGCATAAGACCATTGTAAAAATAGAAGGATTACTAGTTTGTGTGTAAATTTTCAAAGAAGGAAAGGAAGGGGAGAGAGGGTCTGAGCTTAGGGAAAAACATCACCGGGATGACAGAATTAGGTGAGCAGAGAGAGAGGGTGAAGGAATTAGGAAAGATCCAGTTGGGATCTGAAAAGATGGGGTAGTAGTGGGCGTAGATCAATGGTGAGTAAGTTTATAAATACTTGAAAAGTAAAAGAAAGTTTATTATATGGGGAAAAAGTATGATGTAAATGATACAGTATAAAACGCAATTTTTAAAAAGTGAGTCCCTTGCTTTAGCCCATACATTGTTCCTAGTCCTTGATTTCATAACCCAAGTGAGTTTGATGATAAAGCAAGCCTTTCCCTGGATCAGATTAGTTCAGAAATATGACAACATTTAGTCATGATGTGATTTTTTTTCCATTGTATGCAGCCAAATAGGGGTGAGGAAGGAGAGAGTTCTCAGCAGAGGAGCACACAGCATTATCATAAAACTCTATCCACTTGACAACCCTCCAAACATCCAAAAGAAACTGTCATGACATGCAATATCTTCTGAATTTCACATTCCATTATTGAAGGCCAGAGACTCAAAAATGTTCATAATTTTTCACTTGCCCAATTCATCATGCCAATAAAAGGAGAAAAATTCATTTAGTGTGATCTATTTGCTTCTAGTAACTTAATGTTTTTATCTCAATCCTTCAGATGCTCAAAAGTAATCTCCCTACAATTTCACACTTAAATAAAACTGAAGGGCCTGTAACTTTACATTTGTTAGATGCAATTGCATTTTGCAAATTCTTGGCATATAGTCATGGATTGAAACCTTACAAATGCATAGAATCCAGAAAACAAAATAATCTATAATGCATCAGTAAATGTAAGAAATAGAAAATGTTTATCATGGTTTTTAGTTTAGAAATTATAATACATATACAAAAACATGATAGCTTTTATACCTATATAAAAAGCTATCATATAAGAAAAATAATAAACTTCTTTTGTGCCCCAGTCTGCTGTACTGAAGAGCAATGGTGTCTCTCTGGAGACTAAGGTGTGTCTGTTTTAGGTCATGGTCTTTGCAATCACTTGTTATGCACCAGAGAGTTGGACAATGACCAAGGAGGATAGAAGAAGAATTGATGCCTTTGAGCTGTGGTGCTGGAGAAGAGTACTGAGAATACCATGGACTTCTAGGAAAACAAACAGATTCATCCTGGAAAGGGTTAAACCAGGTGGCTCCTTGGAGGCAAGGATTCTGAGGATCTGTCTAACATACTTTGGACATGTTGTAAGGAAAGACAAGTCCTTGGAGAAGGACATCATGCTTGGGAGGGTGGAGGGACAGCGCAGAAGGGGAAGGCCCTCTATGAGGTGGATTGATTCAG